TGGGTTCTGTGAGTCTACTGCTGTTCTGTTCCTTCAGTTTTTGCTTTGTTCTTATACTCCACAGATGAGAGAAATCATTTGATACTTGTCTTTCTNTACCCTCTAGCTCCATCCATGTTGTTGCAAATGGTAGGATTTGTTTTCTTCTTATGGCTGAATAATATTCCATTGTGTATATGTACCACATCTTCTTTATTCATTCATCTACTGATGGACACTTGGGTTGCTTCCATTTCTTGGCTGTTGTAAATAGTGCTGCGATAAACATAGGGATGCATATGTTTTTTTCATACTGGGCTCCTGCATTCTTAGGGTAAATTCCTAGGACTGGAATTCCTGGGTCAAATGGTATTTCTATTTTGAGTTTTTTTGAGGAACCTCCATACTGCTTTCCACAATGGTTGAACTATTTCACATCCCCACCAGCAGTGTAGGAGGGTTCCCCTTTCTCCACAACTTCGCCAACATTTGTTTTTGTTTGTCTTTTGGATGGTGGCGATCCTAACTGGTGTGAATGCTATCTCATTGTGGTTTTAATTTGTATTTCTCTGATGATTAGTGATGTGGAGCATCTTTTCATTGCCTGTTGGCCATCTGAATTTCTTCTTTGGAGAAGTGTCTGTTCAGCTCCTCTGCCCATTTTTTAACTGAATTATTTGTTTTCTGTTTGTTGAGGTGCATGAGCTCTTTATATATTTTGGATGTCAACCATTAATCAGATATGTTATTTATGAATATATTCTCCCATACTGTAGGATGCCTTTTGTTCTACTGATGGTGCCCTTTGCTGTACAGAAGCTTTTTAGTTTCATATAGTCCCACTTGTTCTTTTTTGCTTTTGTTTCCCTTGCCCGGGGAGATATGATCATGAAGAAGTTGCTCATGTTTATGTCCAAGAGAGTTTTGCCTATGTTTTCTTCTAAGAGTTTTATGGTTTCATGACTTACATTCACATCTTTGATTCATTTTGAATTTACTTTTGTGTGTGGAGTTAGATGATAATACAGTTTCATTCTCTTACATGTATCTGTCCAGTTTTACCAACACCAGCTGTTGAAGAGGCTGTCATTTCCCCATTGTATATCCATGGCTCCTTTATCATACATTAATTGACCATATATGCTTGGGTTAATAACTGGACTCTCTATTCTGTTCCACTGATCTATGGGTCTCTTCTTATGTCAGTACCAAACTGTCTTGGTTACTGTGGCTTTGTAGTAGAGCTTGAAGTTGGGAAGCAAGATCCCCCTGCTTTATTCTTCCTTCTCAGGATTGCTTTGGCTATTAGGGCTCTTTTGTGGTTCCATATGAATTTTAGAACTATTTGTTCCAGTTCATTGAAGAATGCTGTTGGTGTTTTGATAGGGATTGCATTGAATCTGTAGATTGCTTTAGGCAGGATGGCTTTTTGACAATATTAATTCTTCCTACCCAAGAGCATGGAATGAATTTACATTTATTAGTGTCCCCTTTAATTTAGCTTAAGAGTGTCTTATAGTTTTCAGGGAATTGGTCTTTCACTTTCTTGGTTAGGTTTATTCCTAGGTATTTAATTCTTTTTGGTGCAACTCTGATGGAATTGTTTTCCTGATTTCTCTTTCTGCTAGTTCATCATTAGTGTATAGGAATGTTAACAGACTTCTGTGTATTAATTTTGTGTCCTGCAACTTTGCTGAATTCAGATATTAGTTCTAGTAATTTTTGGACTGGATTTTTTAGGGTTTTTTATGTACAATATCATGTCATCTGAAAACAGTCACAGTTTGGTTTCTTCCTTACCAACCTGTATGCCTTTTGTTTCTTTGTGTTGTCTGATTGCCATGGCTAGGACCTCCAGAACTATGTTGAATAAAAGCAGAAGAGTGGGCATCCTTGTCTTGTTCCCCATCTTAGGGGAAAAGCTTTCAGCTTCTTGCTGTTAAGTATAATGTTGGCTGTGGGTTTGTCATATATGGGCTTTATTATGTTGAGGTACTTGCCCTCTAACCCATGTTGTTGAGAGTTTTTATCATAATGGATGTTGAATTTTGTCGAATGCTTTTTCAGCATCTATGGAGATGATCATGTGGTTTTTGTCCTTCTTTTTGTTAATGTGGTAGGTAATATTGATGGATTTTCTAATGCTGTACCAGCCTTGCATCCCTGGGATGAATCCCACTTGATCATGGTGTATGATCCTATTGATGTATTTTTGAATTTGGTTTGCTAATATTTTGTTGAGTATTTTTGCATCTATATTCATCAGGGATATTGGTCTGTAGTTTTCTTTTTTTGTGGTGTCTTTGCCTGGTTTTGGTATTAGAGTGATGCTGGCTTCATAGAATGAGTTTGGGAGTATTCTCTCCTCTTCTATTTTTTGGAAAACTTTAAGGAGAAAGAGTTTTATGTCTTCTCTAAATGTCCGATACAATTCAGCGGTGAATCCTTCTGGTCCAGGGATTTTGTTTTTGGGTAGTTTTCTGATTACCTATTCAATTTCCTTGCTGGTAATTAGTCTGTTTAGATTTTCAGTTTCTTCCTTGGTCTATCTTGGAAGGTTGTACTTTTCTAGAAAGTTGCCCATTTCTTCTAGGTTATCCAGTTTGTTAGCACATAGATTTTCAGAGTATTATGTAATAATTCTTTTTATTTCTATGGTGTCCATAGTGATTTTTTCCTTTCTCATTTCTGATTCTGTTTATGTGTGAAGATTCCCTTTTTCTCTTAATAAGTCTGGCTAGGGGGTTATCTATTTGGATTATTTTCTCAAAGAACCAGCTTTTGGTTTATTTTATTTTTTCTTTTGTTTTATTCATCTCAATTTTATTTATTTCTTCTCTGATCTTTATTATGTTGCTCCTTTTGTTGACTTTGGGCCTTATTTGTTCTTCTTTTTCCAGTTTCAATAATTGTGAATTTAGACTCTTCATTTGGGATTGTTCTTCCTTCTTTAAATAGGCCTGAATTGCTATATACTTTCCTCTTAGAACTGCCTTCACTGTGTCCCACAGAAGTTGGGGCTTTGTGCTGTTGTTGTCATTTGTCCCCATATATTGCTTGATTTCTGTTTTAATTTGGTCATTGATCCATTGATTATTTAGGAGCATGTTGTTAAGCCTCCATGTCTTTATGAGCCTTTTTGTTTTCTTTGTACAATTTATTTCTAGTTTTATACCTTTGTGATCTGAGAAGTTGCTTGGTAGATTTTCAATCTTTTTTAATTTACTGAGGTTCTTTTTGTGGCCTAGTATGTGGTCTATTCTGGAAAATGTTCCATGTGCACTTGAGAAGAATGTGTATCTGGCTGCTTTTTGGTGTAGAGTTCTGTAGATGTCTATTAGGTCCATTTGTTCTAGTGTGTTGTTCAGTGCCTCTGTCTCCTTACTTTTTTTCTCTCTGATTGATATGTCCTTTGGAGTGAGTGTTGTGTTGACATCTCCTAAAATGAATGCATTGCATTCTATTTCCTCCTTTAAATCTGTTAGTATTTGTTTCACATATGTCAGTGCTCCTGTGTTGGGTGCATAGATATTTATAATGCTTACATCCTCTTGTTGCACTGACCCCTTTATCATTATATAATGTCCTTCTTTGTCTCTTCTTACTTTCTTTGTTTTGAAGTCTATTTTGTCTGATACAAATATGCAACACCTGCTTTTTTCTCCCTATTGTTTGCATGGAATATCTTTTTCCGTCCCTTCATTTTTAGTCTGTGTATGTCTTTGGGTTTGAAGTGAGTCTCTTGTAGGCAGCACATAAGATGGGTCATGCTTTTTTATCCATTCTATTAGTCTGTGTCTTTTGATTGGTACATTCAGCCATTTACATTTAGGGTGATTATCAATAGATATGTACTTATTACCATTGCAGGCTTTGGATTCGTGGTTATCAAAGGTTCAAGAGTAGCTTCTTTACTATCTAACCATCTAACTTAACTCATCACACTATTATAAACACAGTCTGATGATTCTTTATTTCTCTCCTTTCTTTTTCTTCCTCCTCCACTCTTTATATATTAGGTGTTTTAGTCTGTACTCTTTGTGTTTCCCTTGACTGATTTTGTGGCTAGCTGATTTTATTTTGCAGTTTGTTAGTATTTGGTTGGTCTGCTTCCTTTGCTGTGGTTTTGTTTTCTCTGGTGATGTCTATTTAGCCTTAGGAGCACTTCCATCTAGAGCTGTCCCTTTAAAATACACTGTAGAGATGGTTTGTGGGAGGTAAATTCCCTCAACTTTTGCTTATCTGGGAATTGTTTAATCCCTTTCAAATTTAAATGATATGCAGACCTATATTTTAAAGCTCCACAGGGACATAATGTTTTGCATATGGCAGTGTGCTCAATTTATGTTTATTAAATAGATCTAAGGATGCCCCTTATGTTGTAGCATAAAACCTCTGAAATTCTGTCTCTTGTAATTTTTATCTCTGCCCCCAAAGATAAAAAACTTTCAGGGCCCTTTCCAGTTCTAAGATGCTGTATGCCATTAACAACATTCAAATCACTATTCCTCATGGAGATAGTGCTGTTGAGCTGAGCTCTCCCCATCACCTACTTGCTTGGATCTAGGGAAGGAAATTCATTCTGTGGGAGGCCTCTGTGTGCTGAGGTTATGCTCCCTGAGGGCTGGTGATCTGACTGACTGGAGACATCACCAGGGTGTCGGGCACTGCCGCTGACTGATACCAGCATGGGGGAAAGACAGATGACGGCATCACAGCTCAGGGAAGGCCAGGATGGACGAGCTGCTGCTGCTGAGTCAGCAACAGTTATATGTATACATTAGTCTGCTCACAATTATACTGCATCTTTCAACATTTTTCCCTTTCTGTTCCAGGAGGGATTGATTGTTGTCAGCAATCTTTCCAGTTCATCCACAAGTCAATTCCCTATTTTTAAGCATTTAAAAACATAAGACATTTTTATTATTTTATCTCTAGCAGCAAAACTTTCTTATATTATGTCACATTCTACTTTTTATCAAAAACTTAAGAAAAAATTTTGAATAAATGCTTTTATTTAGCAATTTGTTTTATAAACTGATAGGATTTAGCATGGCATAGTTTGCTCAAAATTAAGGTTCTTCATATGTAGTTTCCCATTTTCATTCATCTCTTTTTATATTATATACTTTCGTTCTCCTTAGACTTGCTCAGCCAATGAATTCTTGTTTTAAATAGTTCATAAGAAGTATTTGGGAGTGCTCATATGAAAATGATGAGTGTTCTCATAATTGTGTCCTTCTTTGTAGGATCCAAATCTAAAAAAAAGTAATTGACATATAAAAACCATTCAGAAATGTAGTTCTTACACAACATTTCAACCATAATTTATGTGGTTTTACTTATATCTACCATAAAACCATGAGAGTTGTGGCCAATTTACAAAAGACTAAATGAAGAAAAAAGAGGATGAATGCATATGGGGAAAGCAGACCAAAATATTAACCTTTAAGGTCCTCTTTCCACAGTTATGGAGTATTCCAAAAGCACAGCTCTTTAAGAATTATTGTCTGATAACATTGGTGAAAAATAAACCTGAATTTTCTCTCCAGTCCTCAGTTTGAGTAATGACCATTTTATAGGGGAAGGATCATAAAACCTGAAATGTTATTCATGTTACAATTATTCATATATAAAACCTATTTGGCACAGTTAAAACTTCTAAGCCTTCTACTAGTGCTCACATGCTACCAGTTAACAATTTCGCTTACTGATGAGTAACTAATTATATAGCTACAACGGTATGATGAAATACAAAAGGCACTGGAAAAGAAGCTAAGACCCGAACAGATGAAGCCATTGACTTCCTTTTCTTCATCAGCAGTTGTAATTTCCAAACAACCTCTATCATGTAGGAGAGAGGAGCTCTTTGTACTTGTCATCTCAAAGCAATAAAAAATAAGGGCAGAGAGTCTTAAAATTTTGCATAACCCTTGACCCTGCTATTTCATGTCTAGAACAGGGTCCCAAGGAAGTAACCAACGATACACCTAAAGATATAACAGGAGTTCCTGGAAGACTTATTTATAATAATGAAAGGATTAAAATATAAAAACAACTAAATTGGTTAGCTAAAGCTTGGTATATCCATCTAACTGAATATCATACAATCATTAAAAATACGTTCCGAAAAATATGGAAGTTTATAATACAGTATTTGAATGAAAAAAATCAGGTTGCCAAATAGCATAAATACACATATACACACATGTACATATACGTTTCACATGATTTACAAAGTTGGGGTAAATATATGATATATGGATAGACATGCATATAAAAACCAAAGATGTATCCAAAAATTTTACCAACAAAATTGCTTATCTCCTCATTAGGACAGCTTCACAGGACAAAGATTTGGTCTTATTCATCAATCTGTCCTTAGTATCTAGCACAAGGCCTAGAATGGTGCTGACATTGTGGTACTCAGTAAATATTTGTTGAATTAAGGAATTGGATCTTTGGTGAGTCCAGTATTATTCTTTAACTATTTCTATCTTATAAAATTTTGTATGTATATATTTTATAATAAGGAATTTTCTAATTAAGGCAGGCCTCCTACTTATGCTTTTGTTATTGTTATAAGTAAACAGTGAGAAAGCGATCTAGCTCCTTCACAGTTGGTGCAGACCAATGTGCAGTTGTATTTTATTTGGACATCACAATCCAGGTAAATGAAAATAAGGAGCACAGGGAAATTGTTTTCCTTTCAGATTTTCCATTTAAGTTTCTGGTTTCTTTCAGTTTCCATTTAAGAAATCAACTCAACCAGCAAGAGGGAAATTTTCCACAAATACTATCACTGCTATTGCAGCTACTGGCATTCACCCTGCATGACTCCAAGAATTTTATGTCATTCAAATCTCAAATAACCTTAGGAGATAGACACTACTCTTTTTTCCCATTTTGCAGATAAAAGACTTGAGGCTTAAAGAGGCTAAGCCACTTGCCCCCAGTCACCCAGCTGTATGAGGATTTGAGCCAGGTAGCTTGACCCCAGAGTCTATGCCCTTTCAGTGCACTGCACTCACAATGGGCAAGATCAAACACAGCAATGGGAGCAAATCTCCTTACATTCACTGACTACATTTCAGTACAGTTTTTTCTTGTTGTATGGAGATACAAGGAAGAAAGAGAATATGGATAGATGCCCTTTTTCTGCCCCCTAACAAAATGAGGTCTGAGAGTTTCTACAGCAATTAGCTGTTAAAGTAATAGAAATGTCAAATAATAATAAAGTATATGACATGTTCTGAGTTTGGTTTTATGCAGCCGTTTCCTCTCATTATCCAGTCATGGGAGGAGAATCACATATACCAAGTCACATGTTTTACTGCAAATAGATTTCTCAGATAACCTCTACTTAAAACTAAACAAAACCCAATATATTTCACATGAAAGAAATCTGCAAGGAAATGAATCATCCACTCTCATTACTCTCAATCCTAACTGCACATTGGAATAACCTGGAAAGCCTTTTTAATCCCAATGCCCAGACCACCCCACCAGGTGTCCTGGTAAACTGGTCTGGAGTGGGACCCAGAAAGGGGTAGTTTTCAAAAGATCTCCAGGTGAATGAAATGTGCAGCCAGCTCTGAGAATGCCACCAACCCAGCAATGCTAATGGGCTCCCTCCCTGCTTCTCAGCTCTGTCACTGACTGGCCACCTACTCCAGTGAAGTCATTTCATGTTGCCAGCCTGAGGGTCTTACTGATAAAATGGGAATAACAAGAGTACCGGCCAAATGAGGATTCATCAAGATAACACACAAAGCACCTAGAAGAAGGTCTGGGATGTAGAATAATAAATATTAGCTATTGTTATGGTATTAATGATTGATGGTAATGATGGTGATGGTGCCAATGTGATGTTTTTTACCTGAGCTTGAGACTACAACAACATGTTTTTCTACCCGGAAAGCAGGGACCATAACTTCAACCCACACAGGATTTTGTCATCTTTACCATGAGCTCCCTTTCTGGAAGGAATCACTAGAACCAAACATAATGTGTAGCTAATTATGGGGTAATAGTCAGGTCCCTAGAGGGGATGCATGCCTCATAACTGTAGTCCACAACATAAAGTAACTCTGTCACCTGGGATTGAAATGAATTTTCTCAGGAACTTCCCGGTGGTCAGTGATCACTTTCTGATTATCTCTATAATCAGTGGGGTCATCAGGAATCCTAAATTTGGCCATCTGAATTTCAGAGTCACTCAGTCCAGCGTGGGAGATTCTTGCATAACCCAATCTGTGGCAGAGAGAGAAATGGTTTGTAAAGCCTTTATCATCATACAGAAAGCTGATAAGATCTAGTATATAATACCTTCATTATTAAGCCAATTTCCCATTTCTACCTCTACTCTGTATATCACTAGAATTAACTTGATTTATAATTTATCAAAAAAATTGCTTTTATGACACAAGTGAATGAGGAACATGCACATAGATTTAATTAACTAAACACACTTGGCAACCTTAATCTACTTTTTCACACTAATGAATATTATGTCTATACAAATTTCCTCCCACACAATTATATTTTAAGTCAATAACAGGAATTCTTCAGAATGAGTAGAGTGCCTAAATTTCTTATCTTTAAAAATCCAACTATCACATGCATATTTCACCCACACTTATAAGTCTAAAAGATTTTCTATGCCTAAAAAAACAGCACATCCTGTTTTTGCTTAAAGCTTTCAGTTCTCCAGGGAATCAAAGGACTTTATAGATACTATCCAAATAGTTACAGAGATGCTCACGTGGAAAAATAGGGTAACTGTAAGCAGCCAAGAATCAATTTATTTTATATTTCTATTTTACCTCTTCAGAAAAAATAATTAAGTCAGATTCAGTCAGTCATTTGTTCAATGAATAAATATATATCGTCATTGTTGTATATTTGGCATTGTTCTAGTTCTAGGGATAAACAATGAACAAAACAAAGCCTCTACCCTCACAGACTTTTTATTCTAGTTAGAAGGGACAGAGTAAATATATATGCATGTCTATAACCCATCAGGTGGTAAGAAGTGCCTAAGAACCATGGGGGAATAAGCAGAATGAAGGGGGCAGGGAGTGGTTGGTGGTGGAGGTTACTACTGTCTGGTGGACGGTCACAGCACACTTCTCTGAGAGTGACATTTGAGCAAAAAATTGAATGAAGTAAGGGAGCAAACCATACAGATATTGGTGGAATGGTGCTCTAAGAAAGAGAACAGCAAATGCAAAGGTCCTAAGGTGGAATGTGCTTGGCTTTTTTGGAGGACCAATTCCACAATGACTAGAGTGGAGTATCTAAGGGGAAACATGGTAGGAGATGACTCTGCATGGGACGGGGTGCTAGACAGTGCAAAGCCTTCCTTGCGGCCCACTTCAGATTTTTTTCTGGGAGTGACACAGGAATCCAACAGGTTTTGTGCAGAGATGCTGCTGTGTACAGAACAGACTCTAGGGAAAGGATCTAAGCAGGGAGATCAGTTAGGAGGCTACTGCAACAATTTAAGTGAAAGATGATGGGGGCTTGGACCAGGGTGGGAGGAGGAAAAACACTTAAAACAAGGCCTATAACTACATACTACACACTGTTATTTCATACCGTAACTGTCACTACATACACACAAAAACTTAGAGCTGTGCAAGTGGAGGCAGCAAGTGCCCCCCATGAGGGGTAAGAGAAGAGCTGTGATGCCACAGATTCTGAGCTCTCTGACAGGTGATGTTTTTCTCCAAGCTCAGGATCCAAATCCATGCTGTTTCCTGTAATGCTAGGTCACTGTTTCTAGTAAATCTAGGTTGTTTCCCAAATCTCTAAGATCAAAATTCTAGCTGGATTCATAGACACTGCCTTCAAGGCCACACCAAAAGTCCTTGAACATAAGGAAGCTGCCAATCTGTATCTGCTGCTAAAACAGGGAATCTCTCATTTTTGTCCAGTGAGTATTTATTAAGTGTCTACGAAGTACAGGTCATTGAATTAGATGATTGAGGTAAAGGTTATAGAATTGGTTTGTGGACAGAAACTGAAAAGCTGTAGTCCCTAACTTCTCTACTTTGGGTATTTTCAAAGTCACCTTCCCATCTGTTATAGACTAAATGCTTGTGCCCCCACCCTCCACCCCACCACAATTCGAATGTTGAAACCCTAACCCCAGAGTGTAGCCATATTTGGAGATGGGGCCTCTAAGGAAGTAATTAAGATAAATGAGGTTATAAGGGTAGGACCTGATCCAACAGGATTAGTACCCTATAAGAAGAGACAACACAGACCATGTATGTCACTTATGCTCACTCACGCTCAAGCTTGCTCTCTTTCTGTCTCCAAAACATGGGAAATAAAGTTTTGTTGCTTAAGCCATGCAGTCTATGGTACATTGTTATGGCAACCTGAGCAGACTAATATCCTATCATATTTAGTATATGTGAATATATGTAAAAATCTGCCATCCCACTCTCCAAATAATAGATAATAAAGGTCTTGGGTCACAAGTGTACAGATAGCCCAGTGATTAGCTATTTGGAGCACTGGTACTATAAATACCATTGTTCCTTAGCAACAATTTTTACAACTTGAATTTATACCTATTTCTGTCTATATCATAAACTGTTTTCTATTATCCCCATTAAAGCAACCACTTCAAATGAATTTTAATATAAACAGTATTTTCAATCTGAGACATCAAATACACACAAAACTAGCACTTCAGCATGCACCCTCCCACCTTAACCTTTTGGAAACAGCAAAGTAATAGTCAAACTATCTGTTCTGCACCCATGTGGGCATGTGTGTGCTGGGTCTTCCAGAGTTTCTGAATTCTCAGTGTAACCAGAACCATCTTAGCATCTCAAGGAACTCCTTGGCCCACCTCAGTGAGGACATGAATCAATGCAGTTATCTGGGAACCAATAAAGTAAAAGTAAAACCAGTATTTCACTAAGTAATATTCAGAGTCCTTCATGGGAGTCCACAAAACCTTCCAGGACCTGCTCTTCCCTCTCTGCCCATGCACTCTGCCTCACTTCCTCCTCCACCACACTCCAGCCCCACTTTTCTTCGAACACATCTGGCACTCCTGCCTTGGGCTTTGGCACTAGCTGGACCCCCCACCTGGAAGGGTCTTCTCCCAAAGCCACACGGCCCACTCCTTTAAATCTTAGCTCCAATGTTATCTACACAGTGAGGCCCACCCAGCCCCCTACCTACAGTTGCATCCCACCTCCATATTCTCGGCACCCTTTACCCTGCTCAATGTTTGCCCACCATATGCATCACCTCCTAAAATATGACCTCACAAATCACTGATTCCATCATTCCAATCATTACCTGTCTTCCCTCCACCAAGGTAGGGAACTTTCCTCTCTGGGTTTCCTGCCCCACCCCTGGTGGCTGGCACCCACTGTGCTCTGTGAGGCACAAACGAGGTGAAGAGCAGGAGAGCCTAACAGCTTGCTCTCGCTGGACTGTCGTTCATAACTGAACAAGCCATATCTCCAATGGGAGCAAAGTTGACCCTGTGATTCCTGTTATCCCTAGAAGGCAACCATTTTCTTTCATAAATATAGACCACAGACCTTAGAATATAAGGTTACTTAAGGGGTGATCAGTCCAACATCAGCCCCTCTCTTCAGGTAGACAATGCCAAGCCTCCTCTGGTGATGAGCTGCTCTGTATGGAGAAGGACTAAGGCCAGAGAGGTGCATCCTAGCAGCCCTGCCAGAGTCCCCAGCCCTGTCCCAAGAAGGGTAGTTAGAAGCCTCAGTTCAAATATCTTCATACAGATTCTGACTAACAGTAGGAGCCGGGGACGATCTCCAGCATATTCCCTCCACTGAAGAACCCTGTATGTGGAGGGCCCTGTGAATCAATCCATTGTCCACATGATCTGCCCCCCTTACCTCTCATGTCACCTTCCATGTCACTCAACTCCAGCCATGCTGGCCTCCTTACTGTTCCCAAAAATGACCAAGCATGTTCCACTCAAACTCCTGTTCCCTTTGCCTGGAGTGCTCCTCCAAGTATATACACAGGTGGACTCCCTCATTTTATTCAGGCTGCTGCCTGAATGTCACCTCATTAGAGTGACCAGCTGCCCACTCTATGTAACACACCACAGCCATCCCATACTCCCCATCCTTCTTACCTGGTTTCATTCATCTTTTTTATCACATTTATCACCACCTGTCATATTTTATTTCTTATGTGCTTATTTTCTGTCTCCTTCCACTGGAATGTAAGCTCTATGACAGTCAAGGATTTTGTCTTGTTATTATATCCCTAATGCCTAGAAAAATGCCTGGCATGTAACAGATACTTAATACTGTTTAATAAATGAATGCATGAAAGAATGAATGGTTAGTCCCCTTTTTTTGGTATAAAACTGCTCTTTGCTTTATTGTAAAGAAAATCTGCCTTGAAAACAGATTTACACATATTTAACTTTTAGGATATTTCAGCTATATTATTTTGGATGATATACACACACACATGGATAATATTCACTTTTTGATATGGTATGATATATTTTTAAAATATCGTTTACCTTGGGATCTCAGCACAACACAGTTCTGGCTCCAGTAAGTTAGTTCACTTACCCAAGATTACATGATTTGAAATTGGCAAAGCTGGAAATCAAGCCCAGGGCTTTCTTATTTCATTGTCCATGCTGTTTCCACCGTGACATATAGTCAAAACTGGTACCATTCCTAACTCGTGTTGATAGCTAGGTACTTATCATATTTCATACAGTATTGTTTTTATGTAATTAAACTTAATTTACTTGGCCATTTATTCCTCTTAATCATTATGCCATGCCTTGAAAAAAACTGTTAAACTGTGTAACTAGCCAAATCAATGTTTATAAAAAGTAACAAAATTGCTTCCCTAACATTTTTCTTTCCTGTGTAAACCCAAATCACAATAATAAAAGATTAAAAAAAAAATCTATGCTCACCTTATCAGCCCTCGATACATAATGTATTCACACCATCTGTCTTGATCTGTGCTGTCAATATCCTAATAAAGAACAGAGAAGAGAATGCTTCAGGCATAGAAAACAGTGCTGTATTCTGAATTGCCAAGAAAATGTGTGAGCTACAGTAATAAATATGCCTTTTCTCTGCCTGGTTCCTAACGATCCATTAAAGTCCAAATTATTTATACATTCTGCAGATACTTCTGAAGCACCTACAAGGTGCCCCACTAGTCTTTGTACTAGATGCTGGTGTACAAAGATGAAAGTGGTCTAGAGGGGGTGTCAGGCAGGAAAGTCAGCAGTCACAGTACAGTCCCCGCCCCCTGCAGCTTTCCAGTCTCTCTGCCCAAGTAGAATCTACCTCATCCTCGTCGGTCACCCTGCGCAGTACCTTATGCACAGCAGCTACACCATTCCGCACAGTTACTTGTTTACATGTCCCACCCTCTCCTTCCTGAGCAGAGGGGCTCTAAATCACTTTGGCCCCCTGGTATGTAGCAAGAAGCCTGGCATTCGGCAGGCACTCAATCTGAGTGTGATAAATTGAATCATTGGGAATAAACACATTTTGGGACTAATCATGAATCTTTTTGATGTTGAAAGCTTGAGACCAGGGATATTTTTCATCAGAGAAGCAGAACATAAACATATTCTTTTTCTATAATGTGTTGGGAAAACCCTAAATGAGGTTTTATACTGAAGAAATTTCCATTTTCTTCTTTTTAAAAATCTTATAAATAAAAAATATACCTGACTTTTGACCATTTCTCAGTTTACTATTAAAGTTTAATTTAAAACATATTTTCAAATCACTAAAAGAATGCACTACAACTTATTAACTATTTCTTAACTTTTTTTCATAAGCTTAGTGGTAGACACATGGATGCTTATTAATTAATCTTTATTATTATATATCACACATATATGTGTCTTTTGTACACATGGAAAACTTACAACAGATTTTTAAAATTAAATTTAAAAATGCTAATAATGAAAAATATAAGAGAGTACTGTTCTGGTTTGCCTTGGGAAAAAATAAAATTTAGCCATTCAGCTATATATATTGGGAATAATAAATTATGAACATGTTGAACTATCATTTTATTTTATTAGGCTTTAACAAGATGCTGTCAAATTTTAAGACTGCAGAATTTAAATACTCACTTCTTAAAGAAAAAAAATACTTTAATCCCAGCATTTATCATTAAAACTCTTCTCTGCATTAGTAAACTTCCTAATAGAAAAAGCACTGCCAATCTTGATATAGTTTCTGACTGCAATAGTGGAAATCAATGGAGGATTAAATAAAAATCAAATGAAATTCCTCTTCACACACACACAAAATTCCCTCTTATTAGAATGCAATTTTTCCTTAGACTTGCCAAATATTACCTTATCTAATATTCTTTTGTCCTTTATAGAACATGTACTCACATTTCTTATTTGATTTTATATACAGCCAGATGCACATGACACATATATTATGTTAATACATGTTATAATATACATAATACATATATCGAGTGTCTCCTACATACAAGGCTGAGGGCTTTGTAGACATTATCTTATATTTCATCCTCATAACACCTGTATAATACAACCAATATTACTGTCACCACTTTATGGATGCAGACACTGAGGCCAAGAATAACTGACCCCAGGTCACACAGCTGGTAAATGTGGCCCCAGCTAGGCTAGTGAATGATGAGAGAACATTTGGAAAGAGAGAGAGACCCAGCCAACAACCAGCACCAAGGCCTCAGACATGAACTGAACATTTTAGACCCCCAGCCCCAGCCACCAGCTGACTAGCCGAGTGAACAGAACGACCAGGCGAGAACAGAACACCACCCAGTAAACCCACAGAAGCATGAGAATCTTAAACCATTGTTTTAAGCCATTAAGGTTTGAAGTGGTTTGTTATGCAGCCTCTGCGATTCCACACTCTCCAGGCTTTCCTTCTCCTCTTCTGACTTCTCTTTAAGTTCTTTCCTGAGATGACCTCCTTTCTCTTCCTCACCGTCAACCCCAGTATGGCCACATTAAATGCAGCTTCAAGGATTTTCTTGGTCTTCCTTTTGTACTTGTCTAACTCCAAGAACCGGATCACCCACTTCCATGGTACAGTCATCACCTAGACAGGAGCAACTCCTTACTATACATTTCTAGTCCTGATTGCCCTTCTCAGATCCAGAGCCATACATCTAGCTGCCTACTGGACATCTCCATTAATATCCTACAGATGCCTCAACTCAGCCTAAAGCTAAACTTATCATTCTTTGAATAACTCTTCTTCCTTATGCATTCTCTGTAATACTAAAGGTCACCATCATAAACCCTCTGAGAGAAGCCAAAATCAGGAGTCCATCTTGACTCCACATTCTGCCTTATCCACTATGGCAGAGATGAACTCATTTCACCAGTATCTGCCTTGCCCTCTTCCAAAGCTGTAGTATTTTTGGCTGGGAATATGTTACGATCAGATACTATACCTCCCAATTTCCTACATATCAATGTATGGCCATGCGACTAAATACCAGTCAATCAAATGTTAAGTACAAGGGTTGGAAGTCAGTTTCCTGAAATTTGCCTGTAGAGATAACATGTGTCCCCTTTTGGCTCCTTCTCTATCCCTTCCTCTAACTTGCCAACTGGAACACGGACGCTGCATCCTGGACCATGAGGCAGACTTGGGAATGGAGGCTTGTAAAGTGGAGTCACAAGATGGAAGGAGCACATTCCTGACACCACGGTGTGCTATGCCAGTGCTAAGTCACCTGCCCAGACTCTATCACAAAGAAATACACTTTTCTTATTTAAGCCACTGTCATTTTGTTTTCTGTCATGTGAAGAAAACCCTCATCGTGGCATGGTCTCCCTCACCTGTCTCTCCAAGCACTTGACAAGATGGGTAAGCTTTTCTCTGCAGACAGTATCTCAAGACATGAAATTGAAAACAAAATATGAAGGACCAACATCTACTTAAAATTCTAATGGTTATGTTTTTCACTACAAATGAATGCAGTTAGCCCTCTAGTGTAGCTGTGTCTCAAGGGTTTGATTTGTGTACCAGGGCCTCAGACCATGATTCTGTTTGGATCCACTTATAAATTCAAGTGTTTTGGACTTCAACAGGTAAGGACTAATTCTGTGTCATTTAGTGAGGCCCTGTCTGGCTGATGCCAGCCTCTATGAAACTCCATTTTAGCTTTTACTCTCAACATCATAATTAACTCGCATAATTTGGCAGATCATATTTTCTAAACATGGCTGCAATAACCCACTTCCCATTTGGTATTCTTATAATGTGACTTTGACACTTCTCCCACTGAGAAATGAGGTTTATTTTTCTTCTCCTTGAATGCATAGCTTGTGACAATAGCAGAAATCACACTATACTATTTACAAGGCTAGGTCATACAAGACTGTATGATTTCTTCCTGGTTCTCTTGGAACACTCACTCTTAGAACCCAACCATCATGCTGGTAGAAAGCCTAAGTCACCCATGGCGAGGAATCAGGACTCCTGAGCCCAAAGCCCCAGCTGAGTTCCTGCTCAACAGCCAGCACCAACCTGCTACCTGTCAGTCACCTGCCAAGGATCTTGCAGTCCTCTGTTGAGCCACCTAGCCGCACAGAGAAGAGATGAGCTATCCCCACAAAACCCTGTCCAAACTGCAGACTCATGAAAAAACAGGTGACAGCTGTGCTTGAATGCCAGCATGTGTTGTGATGGTATTCTATGCAGCAGGAGATAATCAGAATACATATTCAACTGTAGGGTTGCGTGGTTGTTTTTTTTCATGAAGAAATATTTTAAGCAATCAGAAATCCTATTATTTGTGTTACCTTCACATCGCCATGTTCAATGAGCTGTACATAATCTCTGGAGCCAGGTGCTGAAGTGATATATCCCAGGAATATCACTTGATTAGAACTACTTTTCAGTAGTTTTGAAACAGCAATAGCCTGAAGTTTCCTGTCGAGGTCATCTCTAAAAAAATGCAAAAATGTACTTTTTTATTGTATATGCAACAATTTTTAAAAAGTACTGGGTACCTCAGTTCCCAAAGAATATCGGCACACATAGCACAAGCCCAGAATCATTCCTACTTGGATAAATGACTTAATGTTATGCAAACAAACAAGACAGATCAACTGAGTAGACTGACAAACTAACTTCTGGCTAAGAACAATATAATCTTTCCCCACAAATCACTTGGAGTCACATACCTATTCAAAATCAGCATTTGCTCAACTTTTTATCAGAAGAAATTATATCAATAATCTGAGACCCAGTCATCCATATTATAGCTAAAAAGTAAGTTAAAAAAAAATCTAGGAGTGCTGGTAAGAGGAAGAATTCTGACATTCACAGAACATAGCAGTCTTCTGTAACCTACTCAGCTCCTTCAACTGAATGCTTTCTGAAAGACCCCCTCCCCCCACTCCCCTGGCTAAACATGATGCTTTGTTATGCTAAGCACTATACATGTATGACTGAGATAATTAGGCAGGTACATCAAGCTTTTAGGGAGTTTACAGTCAGTCTGTTTTGGAAAAAATAAGGACATCATTTGACACAACCCAGCCAGGAAAACTGACACTCTAGGTATTTCAATCAAAGTGAATTTAATATAGGGAACCGATTACCTGGGTGATAGGAAGTCAAACAGGAGTCAGTGAGGCAACCAGAGTTTACAGAAATGAGAAACCAGTACCATCTCTATGGCTAGAAGGATTCCAGAAAAAAAATGATACTCCCAGCGACCACAAGCCAGCCCTGACTGGTGGGAGATGGTGTTACAGAGGAGGCTGGCCAAGACTGGGACCATGCAAGGAAGAGTTAGAGCCACTGAAGAGAGTCAGCTGCTGCCAGAAACGAGAAAGCAGAGAGAGAGAAAATGAGAAGTACCCTACTTTCTCCCCTCCTCTTACCCTCCAGCCTTGCACTAGTGCCTGCTATTGTCTAAACCTACCCAGAAGCCAGAAGGCAATGGACTCTGGGAACTGTGGTTCCCTGCAGTGTGTAGCCAAGAGGAAGACAAGCCAGGAATGGATCCAAGAGAAAATAGGCAGTAGACCAGCACAGGCATTTATATACAAAGATAACTAATAAGTGATTGTTAAGTAAAAAACAATGACAAAGGAAGATAGAGGGGGAACATGGAGGACTGAGAAAATTGGATAAAATTGAAGAGGTAGGATCTGAAGGCAGGGCCAAGCTTAAATAAGAATGTGTGGACAGCTACGAGTACTATTAAAAGATGTCTCAAAAAATAAGAGTTAAAATGACCATTTGTTTAGTATCTTTGAAACTGAATGCTCATGTTAACTGACAGACAGGCATCAGCTCTATTTTTAAATGAGGCCAAATATCAAGCCTATGGTTCTTTTTCATCTCCCCACCCAGCTCAAATCTCAGCCCTTCTCTGTGCCCAGGGAGGTTGACCCCTGCAGGTTTCCTCTCCTAGACTCCCTTGTCTGCTAATTTCCAGTGGGTTTTGCCAAATGGAGGTAACAGCAGATGAAAAGGTGGGAGGAGAGAAAAGTCTGCGTATTTCTTCCCCAGTAGGCCTGCATTCCTTGTGCCTGGTGGTCCCTCTTCCTCAGTGGCTCTGGGAACACTGTTTCCTCTGCCTGCCCACGATTCCCCACTGTTACTAGAGTCTGAGAGCCTCAGCATCTCTTATCTGTTCCTCTGACTATTCCAACACCTTGGTATGTAGTCCTTTCACTAGGTCTGTAAGGAATTCTGTCCCTTCTGATACACACAACTGGGATTCAGGTCTGTTCTAGAGAATCCCCAAGCCACTGCATTACAGACAGTGTTTCCATTCAAATATAGTTTAGCAATATATTATTGAAAATAACCTATGAATTTGCTTTTACATTTTCTTAAGAGATACATTTTATCCTGTGATTATAATAAAAATTAAAAGTTTATATATGAGTATAAAGAAAGGGTAGTGAGGAAGGGGAAGAAAGAAAGAACATGTTTTATGTTTCCTTTTCTGTTAATATTTTATCAGTGCAATAACCCTATAATGTGGGCTGGAAAAATAATTTTTATCCAATTTTCAGAGACAAAAGAATTTGCAGCTCACTGAAGTACCTTACAACAGAAACAAAACTGTAACTACAGACTACAGGTTCTGTGTGGTTTCTTTGTCCATTTATGCATGTTACAAAAAAATGGTGATTAACTGGTAGTTCAGTTAATTACTTAAAATGACACCAATTTTAAGTTACAGTGTGTACCTAAATGACTTCTAAAGAAAACTATTTCCCATTCATTGCTTGTAAAGAGATTTGTGTAGCCAGTAATTTTTAAACATTTTATTGAATCAGTTAATAACATGCATAAGCATTCTGTAATTCATTCCTAATATGATTCCATGTTTGTATGCCATAATCACTAGAAAATGAAATCTCTAAACATTTTTTCACAGTGAGAATTGTTATCTAGTATTGTAGCACACAAAGGCAACAGAAAATATTTAATGATGGTTTCACAAAGTCTTTGAAGCATGAACTTCTTCATGTCATTTGTTGGAGGCTACAGTGTTCCCGGGCTGGGCTTGTGAAGAGGGACACTGAGCTGTGGCTCTGAGGGGGAAGACTGCACCTAGCACTGTGCTGGGATGTGGAAGCTGCTTGATTTATGTTTGATGAGTGAATTAATTTTTAAGCTGACCACGTACCTTATATTTAGAGTTGTCTGATCTGGCCAGTTATTAATTAAGCACTCACTGTAGTCACATACATTACATGAGATAATATATCTCATTTAATTCTCCCAAGAACCCTATGACATAGGTAGGATTATTGCCTATAATTTACAGATGAGAAAACAGAGGCTCAGGATAATCAATAACTTGGTGAAGAATACACCTTGAATGAGGACTCAAACTAGACCGTCTGACCCCAGGTTCTGGAATTCCATGCTCTTAACCAGTAAACTGCACTGCTTCACTTCCTGGAGTTACATCTCCACAGTAAGTATTAGCAATTATTATTACTGCTGCTGCCGTTGTGCTTATTGTTAAATCAAGTGAGTAAGTAAAATAGCAAGTGAAAGGTATGGTGTTCACTTTGAATATGTGGCCAACAGAAAATCAGAAAAAGTAATCCTTCCCTCTTTTCCAAACACATTCCCAGGGCTGTCCTTAGTCTTCTCCACCCTTTAAGTCTATTTATATCTCAGAGGAGATTCAAGGGAGTTGAAGGGGGCAGGGGAAAAAAGCAGAGGAAAAATGTATATTCAAGTGTTTCTTAGGTTGACATCATGAACCTTTAAACACAAAAGTGCCTATTTTAAAAAGATAAACCTAATTCAAGTTCAGTTTAAGGTCAGCAGAATGATTTTTGAATGGCTATACTTGCTACATGAAAATTACTGAAAGAAACAGAAGGCATTTCTTCAAACAGATTTTCAAAGAGATACAAACCATCCACATCACCCATCTCTACAGGCTCTTCTTATTTCTAGGGACCCAGCAAGAGTCCGATTAGCGGGTGCTTCACACTGATTACATGTGGATGGCTTGCTTTCATTACTTAGAAAATAGTCACGTATATTTTCACAGATCCACAAAATACTGTGAGAAAAAGCGAGGTAATAGGAAAATAAGAGTAGCAGACACATTAGTTGTGTTTAGGTGAAACTTACAGTACAACAAAGTTGTTTTACTAATTTTCTGTATGTCGCTTTAAAGCTCCATGACCTCTTATGTCATGAGTGTAGATAGGACATGTAGACCATATTTTGTAGACTAAGCTTTACATTCAGCATTCAATTGTTTAAGGAAAAAAACAGAATATCTAAACAGATGAACTACCAGCAATGAAATAGAAGCAGTAATCAAAAAAACTACCCAAAAACAAAACCCCTGGACCAGATGCATTTACTGCTGAATTTTATCAGACATTTAGAGAAGAAATAATACCCATTCTCCTTAAAGTTTTCCAAAAAATAGAATAGGAGGGAATAGTTACAAACTAATTCTATGAAGCTAGCATCACTCTAATACCAAAACCAGACAAAGACACCACAAAAAAAGAAAAGTACAGACCAATATCCCTGATGAACATAGATGCAAAAACACTCAACAAAATATTAGCAAACCAAATTAAAAAATACACCAAGAGGATCATACACCATGATCAAGTGAGATTCATCCCAGGAATGCAAGGATGGTACAACATTCAAAAATCCATCAACATCATCCACCACATCAACAAAAAGAAGGACAAAGATGACATGAAGATCTCCACAGATGCTGTAAAAACATTCAACAAAATTCAACATCCATTCATGATAAAAATTCTCAACAAAATGGGTATAGAGGGCAAGTACCTCAACATAATAAAGGCCATATATGACAAACCCACAGTCAACATCATACTTAACGAGAAGCTGAAAGCTTTTCCTCTAAGATCAGGAACAAGACAAGGATGCCCCACTTTTATTCAACATAGTACTGGAGCTCCTAGCCACAGCAATCAGACAAAACAAAGAAATAAAAGGCATCCATCTTGGCAAGGAAGAAGTCAAACTGTCACTGTTTGCAGATGACATGATATTGTACATAGAAAACCCTAAAGAATCCACTCCAAAACTACTAGATCTAATATCTGAATTCAGCAAAGTTGCAGGACACAAAATTAATACACAGAAATCTCTTGCATTCCTATATGCTAAGATGAACTAGCAGGAAGAGAAATCAGGAAAACAATTCCATTCACAGTTGCACCAAAAAGAATAAAATGCCTAGGAACAAACCTAACCAAGGAAGTGAAAGACCTATACTCTGAAAACTACAAGACACTCATAAGAGAAATTAAAGAAGTTACCAATAAATGGAAACACATCCCATGCTCATGGATAGGAAGAGTTAATATTGTCAAAATGGCCATCCTGCCTAAAGCAGTCTACAGATTCAATGCAATCCCTATCAAAATACCAATAGCATTCTTCAATAAACTGGAACAAACAGCTCTAAAATTCATATGGAACCACAAATGAGCCCGAATAGCCAAAGCAATCCTGAGAAGGAAGAATAAAGCAGGGGAATCTCGCTTCCCAACTTCAAGCTCTACTACAAAGCCACAGTAATCAAGACAATTTAGTACTGGCACAAGAACAGACCCATAGACCAGTGGAACAGAATAGAGGGTCCAGATATTAACCCAAGCATAAATGGTCAATTGATACATGATAAAGGAGCCATAGAAATACAATGGGGAAATGACAGCCTCTTCAACAGCTGGTGTTGGTAAAGCTGGAGATACATGTAAGAGAATGAAACTGGATAACTGTCTAACTCCACACACAAAAGTAAATTCAAAATGGATCAAAGACTTGAATGTAAGTCATGAAACCATAAAACTCTTAGAAGAAAACATAGGCAAAACTCTCTTGAATATAAACATGAACAACTTCTTCATGAACCTATCTCCCCAGGCAAGGGAAACAAAAGCAAAAATGAACAAGTGGG